ATATAATAATGATAATAATAATAATAATATAGAAATCAAGTGATGCACAATGCAATTGCTCACCACCCGCCACCAATATCCAGACAGTTATATCTGTCATATACCAGACAACCATATCCAACAATATCCAGACAGTTCCCAAGCAGCGATCGCTGCTCCCTGGCCAACCCCCCCTCCCCAGTTTATATACTGAGCATGACGCCATATGGTATGGAATAGCCCTTTAGTCAGTTTGGATCAACTATTCTGGCTGTGCCCCCTCCCAGTTTCTTGTGTACCTGGCAGAGCATTGGAAGCGGAAAAGTCCTTGACTAGCATAAGCAGTACTTAGCAACAACTAAAACATCAGCGTGTTATCAACATTCTTCTCCTACTAAATCCAAAACACAGAACTATGCCTGCTACTAGGAAGAAAACTAACTCTATCCCAGCCGAAACCAGGACAATGGCAAAGCCCCAAGAGTTGTAGAGCTGTGATGATTACAGGGCTCAGAGCATTGCTACACCCAAGGTAGCTGAGATTTTACATGGCTGCATAAGTCAGGTTGCTCCCATGTCTCTGCTGCTCCCACTGTGCTGTCTCCCCCACAGGCATTTATCCACGTGATTGACATCAACCAGCACCGTCCCCAGTTCCTGGAGAGCCATTACGAAGTGAGGATTCCTGAAGATACCCCCTCAGGAAGGGAAATCCTTCAAGTCAGTGCAACAGACAAAGACAAAGGCAAGGGGCTCATCTACACCATCCATGGCAGCGTGGACCCCAAAAGCACAAGACTTTTCCAGTTGGATCCAAGCAGTGGGGTCCTCACAACAGCAGAAGGCTTCAGTTCCCAGCCTATGCCACAACACACACTAACAGTGATGGTGAGTGCCAGCCAAACCCTGCTGAGTCGATCAGCTTCTTCGGGATATATGGGTCACTGGAGAAATTCAGACTGGTTCTAGTCTTTGAGGGAGCATTTGTCTAGAACAACAGGGAAGAGGAAAGCAGGGTGTTAACCTTTACTGTATAACCATCTTGGATAAATCTAGGTAACACCCTGCTTTCATCTAACCATGTGCTGAGCCCATCATCTGCTACTTTAATTGGAGGGCCACTGGAGTCTTGTACAAGAAAGCACAGTGGATAATTGTAATGTTCGGTTTCAAGTCCAAGGTTGAGTCTTGGTGTTGAAACTTCCAGGCTCATTCCCACCCAAGAGGCTGGTACCACTGAAACATGCCACCCTCTGTAAGAGTCCTGATGAGCTACTTGGAAGCCTGGTGCAGGAAAGGCTGCCTACTCCCTGATGTGACCATACCTGCTCTTCCTCTGTCATTCAGGTACGAGACCAGGAGGTCCCCATCAAAAGGAACTTTGTTCGTGTCATCATCCATGTGGAGAACTGCAACCTTCACCCTCCTCAGTTCAGCAGCATCCATTATGAAGCAGAAGTGCTGGACTCAGCAGTGGTGGGCACAGAGGTTATACAAGTCAGAGCCCTTGATCAGGACCAAGGAGCCAATGCTGAAATCCACTACTCCCTTCAGGCAGGTGAGCGCCATGCAACAAGACAGTTTAGGCTATGAACATGCCTGCATTTCCGTGCTCTAGCTAGTGGCCAGACAGTTGACCATCTTTCTCTAGCTGTTGCAAAAGACAGTAAACGGCTGCACATTGCTATACATGATTTTTGTCCTATCCAGAGAAAATCTAGAGCAAGCAGGTAATTTCCATATTATGGAAATTTCGATATTATGGAAAAAGCATCCTTTCTTAGGAAGGCAGTTCGATGTTGAGTCACTGGTCTAAGAAAAAATGTGACTGGATGAGTTTGAACAACTTAAAATGTTCTCTTCCCGTCCATGGCAACTGAGGGAGAGATCCTTGTCCAGTTTTGGGGCAAAAGTACTCCCATTCCCACAGCAGTCATCATTACTTCCACCAGTTCTACCAAGAAACACATCCTTGAGGAAAGGTGAAGACCCTCTCAGCATTAGTTGATGGTCTTTTTGTGTTGTACAAGCTCAGTGGGCAAGTATTTTATTATTCACTCTAGAGGTTAAAACTTAAATACTTATTGCTGTGCCACACTGCCTATTTAGCAGTTAAATTCTTTGCAGGAGACAAGCCATCCTTTGCTCCATCTTTCTCACTGCAATTTAGATCAAGGACTAAGGAATTTAATTGCTCTCGAAGTATTGGTAATTATAAGCATGACAGGGCTTGAAGCAACTAGTACAGTCTGTGCTACCATGTTCTGCACACGAGGCAAAAGCTTCAAGCACATGCTCTACCACCACTAAATACGCTCAGATTAGAAGGGTGTTTATCTCTAATTTACATTTTGATTGATTTAACAGTTAGCTCATAGATCTCAATGGGTTCATTGTTCTTAGAATGAACATTATTTAGAAATTAATGAAGATTGTTGCCTCCCAGTGAAAGAAATAGATGTTAATTAGGTTTGAAATCAGGAGCATCTATGGAAAAGAGGTTCAGAAAACCAAAACCAATAGGGTGTCTGCATTATTCATTTTGTAATTTCTCTTCTTGCAGGTAATGGGGAAGGTTTCTTCAGCATCGACCCGTATTCTGGAATTATTACAGTTGCCCGGAAACTGGACCCATCCAGGCAGGAGCGATTTACTCTTATTGTAAAGGCAGAAGATCAGGGGTTCCCCCAGCTTAAAGATTCTGCTACAGTACATGTCCATATTAGACCCTCTGATCGAACCCCTCCAAAATTTCCAGAGACTGAATACATCACAGAGATCAGTGAATCCACTGCTGTTGGCTCTCCTCTGATCCAGGTTTCAGCCACAAGCTTGTCACCAGTCAGCTATGAAATAAAAGATGGAAATGGAGATGGAGTGTTCACCATGAACTATCAGTCAGGCCTTATTTCCACTCAGAAGAGCTTGGATTTTGAGCAGGTATCTTTTTACCAGTTGAAAGTTCGTGGCACCAACATGGCTGGAGCATTTATGGACACAATGGTACTTATCTATGTCATAGATGAGAATGACAATGTGCCCATCTTTGTTAAGCCTTCCTTCATTGGCTGGATCATGGAGAATGCTCCATCACAAAGCATGGTTCTGGATGAAAGCAATGCTCCCCTCGTGACCCATGCAACAGATGCTGATCAAGACTCCAACGCTCTTCTGGTCTATGAGATTTTGGAACCAGAGGCACTGAAATATTTTACAGTAGATCCTAGCACAGGGACACTGACCAGTCGCGCTGATATAGACTATGAGCTCACCTCAGTTTTCCACTTCAGTGTACATGCGCATGACAGTGGAAGTCCCAGCTTATTTGCATCCAAGCCAGCCAAGGTCACAATCCATGTTAAAGATATAAATGATTCACCTCCAGTCTTTTTCAAAGACACTTATGAGCTTTCTGTCTTGTTACCTGCCCACCCAGGGATGGAGCTTTTGTCAGTACAGGCAAAAGATGCAGATTCAGATGTGACCTACAGCATCGTGGAGGGGAACCTTGATAATGCTTTCTATATTCATCCACTCGCAGGTCTCATCTCCATTCTTAATGCTACCGGCCTGGGAAGCTATCGTGAACTCACAGTCAGAGCTGGTGATGGCTTATATAAGAGTACTGCTCTGGTTAAGCTAAATTTAACTCAAGCACAAGGTACTGGGTTAAAATTTGATCGAGACATATATACAGCAACTGTGATGGAGAACTCTACAGATGAGAAGACTCTTACCATTCTTGGGGTCAAGGGATATCAGCTAAATGAACCACTTTTCTATTCCCTTTTGAATGGAAAGGAAAGATTCAAAATGATCCAGGCATCTGGTGTACTCCAGACCAAAGGTGTGAAATTCGACCGTGAAGCACAAGACATGCACGAGATAGCTGTGGAAGTGAAGGACAATAGGAAACCACCAAGGGTGTCCCAAGCCACAGTCAAGGTTTATGTAGAGGATGTCAATGACAATCCACCGCAGTTTGAAAACGTGCCATATTACACCTCAGTGCAGGATGGCACAGAGCCAGGTGACGTACTTTTTCAGGTGTCAGCAACAGACAAAGACATAGGGGATAATGGAGCCATTACCTACTCATTTGCAGAGGACTACAAATATTTTTGGATTGACCCCTACCTAGGAGACATCTCACTTAAGAAGCCTCTTGATTATCAAGCTTTAAATAAATACAACCTCCGAGTCATTGCTAAGGACAAAGGTGAGCCTCCCCTCAGCGCTGAAGAGGAGGTTGTGGTCAGTGTGAGGAACAAATCCAACCCTCTTTTCCAAAGTTTGTACTACCGAGTGAAGGTGCCAGAAAACATCCCCCTGTACACATCTATCCTCCACATACAGGCTCGCAGCCCTGAAGGCTTGCGCCTCATCTACAACATTGTGGAAGAAGACTCCCTAAAACTGTTCAGCACCGACTTCAAAACTGGTGTCCTTACTGTCACAGGTCAGCTGGACTATGAGCTAGAGACAAAACACGCATTCACTGTTAGAGCCACAGACACAGCGCTAGGATCCTTTTCAGAAGCCAGAGTAGAGGTGGATGTAGAGGACATTAATGACAACCCCCCTGTATTTTCTCAGATGATCTACACGGCATCTGTCTCAGAGAGTTTGCCAGCACAGACCCCCGTTGTCCAGCTCTTTGCTTCTGATAAGGATTCAGGCAGAAACAAAGTGGTGTCCTATCAGATCTTGGATGATGGTTCAGATGCTACCAAGTTCTTTAATATTGATGCCAGCACAGGGCAAATAACAACGGCTCAAGCACTTGATTATGAAAAAAATCAGCAGTTTCGCATGAAAGTAAGAGCTGCAGATCATGGGATGCCTCCGCTTAGCAGCGACGCCCTGGTAATTGTGGATGTGACAGACATCAATGACAATCCCCCTGAGTTCAGCCAGCTTCAGTATGAAGCCAAGGTAAGCGAAATGGCTACGTGTGGGCACATCGTGATAAAAGTCCAGGCCCTGGACCCTGACAGCGGAGACACCACCCGACTGGAATATGTGATACTCTCAGGCAATGACAACAGGCATTTCACTATCAACAGCACTTCTGGAATAATATCCATGTTCAACCGCTGCAAAAAGGACTTGGAGTCATCTTACAATCTCAGAGTTTCTGCTTCAGATGGAGTTTTCAAGAGCACTGTGCCTGTATATATCAACACCACAAATGCCAACAAATACAGCCCCTCTTTTCGGCAGAATGTGTACGAGGCAGAGCTGGCAGAAAATGCTGAGATAGGTACCAAAGTGATTGAGCTGCTGGCTATTGACCCAGACGGTGGCCCATATGGCACGATAGACTATACTATCATAAACAAACTCGCCCATGAGAAGTTCTCTATAGACAATAAAGGTCATATTGCCACACTGCAAAAACTGGACAGGGAAAATTCAACAGAGAGAGTTATTGCCATTAAAGTCATGGCCAAGGATGGGGGTGGGAAGGTGGCTTTCTGCACTGTCAAAATAATCCTTACAGATGAGAATGACAACCCACCTCAGTTCAAAGCCTCTGAATACACGCTGTCCATCCAGTCCAATGTAAGCAAAGGCTCCCCCGTCATCCAGGTACTGGCTTATGATGCTGATGAAGGTGCAAATGCAGATGTCATTTACTCCGTTGACTCCGTGGAAGATGTGGCAGAAGACCTTGTTGAGATCAATGCTGCCACTGGGGTTGTGAAGGTCAAGGAGAGCCTTGTTGGTTTAGAAAACAGAGCCTTTAACTTCAAGGTGAAAGCTGAAGATGGCAGACCCCCTCACTGGAACTCCCTTGTCCCAGTGAATCTTCAGATTGTCCCCAGGGAGGTGACATTGCCAAGGTTTTCTGAGCCCCTTTATACATTCTCTGCATCTGAGGATCTTCCAGAGGGATCAGAAATAGGGTCAGTCAAGGCTTTTGCAGAGGATCCCATCATATACAGCCTGGTGAAGGGAACCACTACAGAAAGTAACAAGGATGAGGTGTTCACATTGGATGAACAAACAGGGGCTTTGAAAATCAAAAAGGCCATGGATCATGAGACCACCAAGTGGTACCAGATTGATGTTATGGCTCACTGCTCACATCAGGAGACTGAGCTGGTCTCCCTGGTCTCTGTGAACATCCAAGTGCAGGACATCAATGACAACAGACCTGTTTTTGAGGCAGATCCCTACAAAGCTTTTGTCATGGAGAACATGCCATCAGGAACCACAGTCATTCAAGTGACGGCTAATGACCAAGACACAGGAAGTGATGGACAGGTCACCTACAGTCTGGAAGCAGAATCTGGCAACCTCCGAGGACTCTTCACCATTGATGGTGAGAGTGGGTGGATCACCACACTAAAAGAGCTGGACTGTGAAGCTCAGGAGATCTATCGGTTTTATGTGGTGGCCACTGACCATGGCAGGAAAGTCCAGCTCTCTTCCCAAACCCTGGTGGAGGTCACTGTCTCTGATGAAAATGATAATGCTCCACAGTTCACCTCAGATTTCTATAAAGGATCAGTAATTGAGAACGCGGAGCCAGGGCAGGTTGTTGTCACGCTGAGTACCATTGACGCAGACATCTCTGAGCAGAACCGGCGGGTCACATGCTACATAACTGGTGAGTTTTTCCTGACTTTAAATCTTCAGTGGGCAAGAATAGAGTATCATCTCAAAGTGAGGATTTGATACCTTGTCTTATAGGTTATTAATACAGAAATAGCATTATACTGACAGTCCTATCAGAAGCAGATGAAGCCTGAGCTCTGTCGTGAGCTGGACTCTTCAGTTAAATGAGTCTGGGGTATCCAAAACTCTCTAGTAACAAACTGCAGTGGGTGGAATTATCATTATAATAACTATCCCACCACTGATTCATCCAATTTATTTGGAAATAAATAAATAAATATTTTATATATATGTAATTACACAGTACTGTAGATATATTTATTTACACTTTCTTAATAGAGAAATAATTAAGACAGTGTAATTGTAATATCTGTTGGAAGGACAGAAGCAGAGGTACAGCAGGAAGGAAAGTTTTTCTCATGTAGATAGTGTGACCCAGCTTTTTTCCTGCGAACAGTGCAGTCGGTTTTACACATCACACATGTGTACCCTGCCTGTATTTTTTAATAACTATACATATGCACATAGGATGCATATAACTTTCTGGTATTAAATGTGTTTCCTATGAAGCCACGTTGACTTAACAAATAATTAGACCTCACAAGGCTGCAGTTAACAACTCTGGTGGATATTTGAGACTGGTGGATATTTGAGATTGTCATGTCAATCTTAGTGAGGATTTTGGCTAACAAGAAATGCTAAAGATGACTCTTGCATCCCTGAAACATCAGTCGTGCCAACTAAAATTAACCACTGCTGTAAAACAACAAAAAAAGGTATACTGGAATGTTTGTTGTGCATCTACACAAGTAGAAGCTTGATTTTATGGTACTTTTTGACCCCAAAGGGTCTTTCTCAGACCTGGAACAGATACTTCAAATTAAAATGTTTGTTCAAACTCAAATGAAGACCCTTCAGGGTCAAAACATTTAGTCAGATCATGCTGCAGCCTGTTATCTATTATTGTAACCATCCAAAACAGGGGAGGAATGCTGGTACTTTCAATTGGTTTATGGCATGCCTAGGAATTTGCAAGCCTATGGGAGGAAAGATTAAATCCATTTATGTATTCGCAATTCTGCCCTCTTAAAGGTAGTAGTAACTTCCAACTACTTTAAACCTGAGAGAATGCACACTTATGCATTGCTTTGTACTTAGAAGTATGGGTCAAACTCTACCCATAAACATATAAATACAACTGCTGTATAGCGCTGCAGCAACAGAAAGGAGGAGGTGAACACAGAGCCTAGCTTCCCACTGTTCACATGCACGTTGATTTCAAACACACAGAAACTGAATTTGAGCATGGGCTGGAGTCTCCCAGCGTCAGAAGAAGGGCTAGAGGAGATCTCATCGTGCCTCCAGATTCACAGTCTCACCACCACAGTGCAAATGAAAGCAGAAAGAGCGTGAATTTAATTTACCTGGCTGTGCAAGGCCCTTCAGAGTCTAACACAAGCCCTGCAGCCAGCTCTCTTCATTGCCTCCCATTACCTAACGTGCTCCCTCCTTCTGCCCAGCGGTGCGGGTTCAGCA